ACCTAAAGGACATTGAAGTTTCAGCGGGGCTTAGGCCGCAGGCACTATGTCTACACTGCAAAGCAAAATCTTCAGCACCACGTCTCAAAGCCCATGTCAGCTCTCCAAGGCCTGATTTATATTAGGAAATTAAGTTGTCATCACTATGTCCAGGGATATCCTTAGGCATACACAGCTGCATGTTGCACCCGCAGCCATGATGGGCCAGCAAAGTGTGGGCAGCTCCAGCTCCAATGGCTAGTCCCAGCCACCATCAGCCTTCCTCTCCAGGAGCTGCAGCCAGCTGCCACTCATAGGCAAAGGGAAACTGCCACCTGTCTTCAGCCAGCTGCTCAGCCTCTGGCATGCAGCTCCTGTTGCTTCTCATCTGGCACCCCCTGCATGCTCCCCACCCACCTCCCTGCGCTGAGCCTGGCCAGCTCTGGCCCTGCAGCACAAAGGGAACACCCACCCCCCACAGAGTGGCTGCCCTCCTCACTACCATGAGGGGAGGGGTGCAGGTGCTCGGGCTGCATAGGACACCAGGAACCATAAGGTGACCCTGACTATGTTGCTCCGGGGTGTGACAAAAACAATACTAGTGGGCAACATCATTCAGCCAACATAAATGCTTGTGTAGACGGCAGTATTCTGTCAACCTAGTGGCTGCCTCTCAGGAGGTGGATTGCCTGCACTGAAGGCAGAATCCTGCCCATTGGCGTAAGGAGTGTCCACGCTGAACTGTTTCAGTGGTGCAGCTGTGACGCTGTAACATTGGAAGCGTAGAAAATCCATTAGGCTTGCGGGACATGGGCTAAAAACAGCAGTGTAGACTATTGCCACTTTGGCGAGAGTTGGGCTCCAGAACACGGCGAGGCAGAAGGTTTGGAACCTGAACCCAAATGGGAATCTCTGAACGGCTGTTTTTAGCCCCACATGCCCATGTCAATTGACCAAGGTGCTGAGATTCTGCACGGTAGGATTTTCTTGGCATGCTCTTTGATGCTTTGCAAATGGGGCCTCCTGCTTGTAGTTCTCTCTGAACCACACCATTATTCTCAAAGGGCATCTTGATTGTATTTTGGGATCAGATATTTCCACCGAACAGACATCGAACATTGTGAAAGGTGAATGAAGTCACCTTTTATTATTATGTCCTTAGACAACAGCTCTTTGTGACAGAAATTATCTGTGTGTGTACATACACACGCAATGGGGGGGGTCAGTCAACAGCTCTTTGTGACAGAAATTATCTGTGCGTGTACATACACACGCAATGGGGGGTCAGCTGAGCCAAACAATGATAGTAATGCTAATTACTGCACTTCTGAAGCACTCAGCTCTCTAAGCCTACAACACATGTGGAATACTTCCTCTATGTAAAGGGATTAGTTCCCCCAGTAAAGCCATGTTCATATTCATTACTGCCCTGTATATTTTCATAATGGGCACCTACTCTGTTCCAGGATGCTTAGTGGTGTATCAAAGGTGGAGTCTGTACCCAGAGAAATCCTTCTAGTTTGGCTTTCCTCAGATTGTCCCGAATTGTGAGTTCAGCAGTAAAAGCTGCTTGAGTTAGAAAACCATTTGGGACCAAAAGCCTGCAATCAGCAGAGCTGCCAACTTCTGTTACACATTCATTCCTATATGCTATTGACATGAAATATCACGGGAAAGATATTTCTCTCTCTCCTTCATTCCTATATGCTATTGACATGAAATATAACGGGAAAGAGATTTTTCTCTCTCTCCTCCCCCGCCATTTAATACAGTATCTAGGCCAGTGATTCCCAACCTATTTATCACTATCTACCACAGGTTACCTGGGCCACAGGTTGAGAATCACAGTGCCTCTGCAACTACCCTCACAAACCCCTATGCCCAGAGATCCTTCCACAGAGTGGGGCCAGGAGTAGAAAGCTGGTGTGGAGTGGGAGTGGGGGGAGGAATCCTAACCCAAAATCCTACTGCATGGTGACTTCTGAGACAGCCAAGACCCCGATATAGGATCATGCCAGGTAGAAGATGGCTGCTCAGATCCTTACCCTGCAGCTCAGACTTGGGGGGCAGGCAGGACCCCCAACCCTGCCACTCAGTTCCAAGGGACAGCCAGGACCACGGACCCTGTTGTGCAGGGCTGGGTAGAAGCTGCTTTCTGGGATCCTGCACTCAGGGTCAGGGCAGCCTGGACCAGGACCCCACAGGAGCCTGATATGCAGCAGGGCAACTGGGAACTTCTGTGGTGCAGCTTTGTGCCAGTTGAGTTGCATGTGGCCTGCAGGCCAGAGGCTGAGAACTGCTGGTCTAAGGGAACATGCAGTGAACTGCCAAATAAGAGCCCAGGGGTGCTAATACCAGCTTATCTACTGACTGCTCTTCACCTTTCTGTGCATTTCACTCTCCTTATTAACAATGGCTGTGTAGCTCTACCTTTGGGGACATATAATTCCTCCATTTTATAGCTTGGATAACTCTGGGGTGGGACAAGATCACTGCAAGGAGAGCTAGGCATAGAACCTAAATCTTTGCCGTATTGTCTGTGAGGTGAAATATGGCACACTACATCCTGTAAACCTTCTCCCCGCCCCTCCTTTCCTCCCCTTCCCCAACACAGTATGGCCTTTTTGTTCAAGTAATAAGAAGCTCATGCTTTCAGCTTTAACAGTCCCAGATTCATTCTCCACAGCCATCCTGGACAGGGCAAGCCTTACATTGGAATGGACAATGTCTCATCACTCGTCCATATTCTACTCCCAAAACTTGGACGACTCACCAACATTCTAGTATGGGTTTACAACATTGTTTACCCCCCATGGGCTATTTTCATGGCAAAAACAACATACCTCCGGGTACTTTCACAGCTGAAGTGGTAGAGCTCTTTGGCGTGCTTCTGCAGATGGGGGAGAGGGGAAATCAAACCTGGCTGACTCACGTTGGCTAACGTAAGCACTTGGCAACAACTGCTGAAATTACATTATATTGCAACAGGTTGCATTTACGCTGCATTGACCCTGTTCTGTGACGGACTGAGAAATGGAAGGTTTCTGTTTCCTACCTAAACTCCTGACACATAAAGCAAGTCAAAGTTTTCTTTGCTAGGAATGAGACACAGGGTTGGTTTTTTTTTCCTTGAGTGGGTTTTTTCTTTACATTTTTAACTCTTCAGGGCTCATGTGGCTACATGCTAGAGTCTGGTGGAAAAGCATTTATTTGTAACATGTTTGGATAGGGAACAAATAAGCCAATGCCAGGTAGGTACACCAATAGCTTTGCCTGTGGCTTTCACACTACATTCAAATATTGTGCCCCGCCACAAGTGATTTCTGCTCTTTTGACAACAACAAAAAGCCCCCTGTTTATCTCTACCTTTGAACAGTGGGGAAGAACAGGTTAAGCCACACTGAGCCTCTTTAGGGAGAGTTCATACGTCCAAGCTCCTCTCCCCATTCCTTGTACTTTCACAGAAGTCTGGTGTTCAAGCCCCTGGCTTAACAAGGCTTTTCAGATGAGGACCACTTCCTCATTCTGGACAGGTTAAGCAGCATTCTGTTCCCCTTTATTTATTTGAAAACTGGACCCCTTACTCCATTCATCTGAAGAAGTGGGCTGCACCCACAAAAGCTCATGACACCATTTACATTTTTGTTAAGTCTCTAAGGTGCTGCAAGACTATTCATTGTTTTTTAAAGTTTTTTCCAGTTACAGACTAACTCAGTTACCCCTTTGAAAACCCTCCAGTTACAGACTAACTCAGCTACCCCTTTGAAAACCTTTTATTCATACAGTAAAGATAATACTGATAACACTTCACTACCCCTGCTTTCAGTACTAAAGCAATTTGTAATCCAACACCAGTCTAAATTGATCACTTTGAGGAGCACCACTATCTGCTGGATATCTAGGCAGAATGGATGTGTCTAAGTAAATGCAGTTTGCTCCTGAAATCTCTCCATCTCCCTGCTAACTTGTAAGGCAGAACTCTTTCAGACCCTGCTAGCATCTACATATACATTATCTAACTGCAAAATTCTTGTAAAGGTGAGGCCCAATGCTGCTCTAAGTGAAATTAATGGGAGTTTTGCCATTAACTGCAATGGCAGCATGGTCAAGCCCCAATTAATAAAAAACACTAGATTCCAGGGTGAAATCTTGAACCTATTGAAGTCAATGGTAAAAGTCCTTTTGATTTCAGTGGAGCTAGAATATTATCCAAAGTATGCTATGCACTGAACTATAATGGTCTGCTACAGTGCATATTTTAAAAGATATGCTGCACAGGAAACACATTACTGGAGCAATCATGTGGTATTTCAATATTGTGCCACAGAGTAAACTAGAGTGTCTTTGTTCACAGCTCCCAGACATTCGAAGTCTCATGGAGACTTCTGCAATGAGTGGTTCACCAGCTATAAAAAATAGATAGTGTAGAGAAAAACATTTGTAAGAGTTGTTATTTTGAAGTTTCCTGTCCATTGAAGTTTAACATTTTGGCATTCCTAGTACCAGCCATTTAGAAAAAAGAAATCAATTAATGCAAGATTTGGGATTTGACTGAAGAGTTCTAAAAGTTTTAGGTAGTGCAACACTGATGTCACTACAGCCCCAATCCTGCCAAGACATTAATCCTTGTACCTGCTGAGAGTAGCTCCATTGGAATCACAGTGCACAATTTAAGCATATGCATAAGTCTTTGATCTAACACTGGATCTCAGTAGAAAAGAGTGTAAAGAAAGTGTATCTCTACACCTATTCAATCATACTTCAGGAGAAAAACCAAGTACATACAATATTCCACAAAACGCCCAAGTGAGCGTAATTTTATATTATTCATTAGGCCTTTTCAATTTTCTAGTGTATCTTAAAACTTAAAGATTTGAGACTTTCTGTTCCAAATTACTGACGTTTTTCAAGAAAGACAAAATCCTAGTTAAAAATTGAAACATTTTCATGAGTATGGTGATTGTGCAGCTAATGAATTCACCTTTTGGAAATTGGAAAGACGGGCAGTTTCGTTATTTTGGAAATTGGAAAGACGGGCAGTTTTGTTACACCTCCATTTTTCACTCTAATAGGATTTTGGGATATGAAAAGAATGCAGGAATAGTCCCTTCTTCCACAGTGCAGTCCCCTCCCAAACACTCAGAATGGGGACTCTTGTTTATGTGACTCAAACACACGAGCCCAGATATCGGGAAGTACTTCAGCACTTAAATCCTGCGGGATTTAGGCACCTACATACATTGAAGGTTCTTTCTCTTTGTTTTCAGATGGCCTTTCACGTCATCCAGCTTGTACTACAGAATCACCAAAATATTTTTCCAGTTTTCTCCACACAGAACACAGGAGGGCCACATATACAGCTATAAAATTATACATATGCATACATGCTTTGTTTTACTGAAAGCAGGAATCACGTAAAGTAGCAGAGAAATAAGCACCCTATAATTCCTAATTGGGAAAATACATCTTTTAAAAAATAAACATCATTCAGCTTCATACTATATTTTCAGCTAAGGCACTGAAGTATAAATGAACTTTGTTAGCAGGTGAGGCAGCTCCTTGGTCCAGGCTCTTTACTGAGCTGCACTGGAATCAAGTAAAAAAAAAAAACATCAGTGCACTGAGGTGTGTAACTAAGAATTTCCTTTGGAAAACATGTGTCCCACTTGCCCATAGGATATTAAGCGATGGAGCAATTTCCCTCTTATGCATTTCTGGGTATGTCTATAATATAATCAAAGGGAGTGATTGTAGCTTGAGGAGATATACACTCTCCATCTTATCTGGGTGCCAGAATGGTAAACCTATAGTAATGTGGGCTTTCCCCATGAATAACTAGCCAAGGTTCGAGGCAGGCTCATGCAAGCCACATTGAAACTCCTGCTGTCACCGTTTCACTCTTCTGGGACCTGCTAGCTCACAAATGTCTGTTCAACCCACGGTCATACCCTGTGGGTACAGTATAGCTATACCCTACATTTTGTTCTTAGACTGACAGGTGACAAAACTAAGTAAGGAGTGTTTTCAAGGGCTCTAAAGGCCAGACGCCATCCTACTTGCTCATAAACGGGTATAATTTTCCAGAGGCTTGTCTTCAGTAGCAACAGCACTTCTTGCTCCTGCTTGTGTCTCCCCTTTGACAGCTGGATCGAGCCTTGCAGGAGTGTAGTCATTTCTTTTCATATCTGTGGGGGGAAACAAATTCAGTGACATGGGCAAGAGCCAGATTCTGAAGATGAGAGTAAGGGGCATATTAACCCTAGGTTGTGCAGTGGGGAGTGGAAGATGCTGCACTGACCAGAGGCTTCCTAGGAGAGGTCAGAGAAGAATGGGAGGAGATGCATTAGAGTAGGACCCATGGAAAGACAGAAGCAGGTAGGGAATGTGCACACATGTATTCTCCACCTTTCTGCCTTATTAGTCAATCATTGGCAAGCCTTGCCCCTTTCTCCCCCATCCCACCATCCATTGGCCACAAAGGCAAGCGATCTTAAAGGTATTATTATAACTCCTAGAATCATAGAACCATAGAACTGGAAGAGACCTCAGAAGGTCATCAAGTCCAGCCCCCTGCTCTAGGCAGGACCAATCCCAACTAAATCAATCTGGCCAGGGCTTTGTCAAGCCGAGACTTAAACACCTCTAGGGATGGAGGTGATTCAGAATTAGGCAGCTATTGAAAACAAAGTACTTTTCATTAGAAAAAAAATACAGAGATAGCAATTCTCTCTTTCACCTGACATCATATGACACTTTTCACCCACAACTGCAATTATTTTTGACACTCTGAGCCCTGTAAAACTGCATCATATTGAAAAACTGATCAGATCTGCATTACACTGAAAAGTATATTTCTAACAACTATCATTTATGTGATGGATGGTTCCAAATAAGTGGAAAAGCAAAAGCTGTGATGTAGAGAGCCAGGTTTGAAGTCAACATCTGCAAGAAGAGAAAGACTCATGGAGATCTCTCTGGGGGCTGATGCATTGCTGATTTTTATGGAGTTCCTCAGATACTTATTTAAACACTTAAAACGATTGCTTGGGAACTGTACTGATCCCAATAAATATCTATTATTTCACATGGAGAAGAAAATAATTTAATGTGTGTTTTAAGGGTAAGTGTTTACATTATGAACTCCAGACCACTGACTGACAGCTTCTAATTTAAAAGCAATGGCAAGACAACAAAAAAAAAAAGGGAGGGGAAAGTAGAATGCCGATCAGTGCAATGCAGCTTCACCTGTACATAGACAGGAAGCTCCAGATCATCAGCTTTACTTTAAAAAAAAAAAAAAAAAAAAAAGATAACTTGATACTTCATGATAACTCACTAGAGCTCTAAGTAAATACCTATTCTTAGTCATTTCAGGACCTTCATTATTTTGCAGTTAGAAAGGTGGACATAGTCTGGAAATAGGATATGATATTGCCAATATGTCACCCATATCAGTTTCTCCAGGACACTGTTCTTAAGATGAATTTACTTAGGAAAATATAAAATTCCACAGCACATACCAGGAAGTTTCAGCTTCCTGCAGCAGGAGTTACAACGGTGCTTTGCAATGAAGTTTTTAATTGCATGTTCCCCTAGGTTTGCTGGTCCAAACACCATCCCTCCAGATCTGGAAGGAACAATAGAAAATCAGTGAGCTCATAGTTAAAGGAAGGATGTTCTTTATGTGTTATCCCTGGGAATTCTACTCTTTAGAATGAAGTGACCACTGAGAAAAAGGGCGAAAAAGGTGAAATTAAATAGAACTTTGGCCTGATTTAGGAACACATCAGCTTAACAAATACAGTTTCAGCATTTGCAAACAGAAAGAGGTTTCCTAAAATAAGCCAAGCTCTGTTTACACCAACACCTGTTAGAAGTCTAGGACTGTTAAGAATACAGTTCATTGCTGGTAAACAAGGCTCTTTAATTATCTGCTTCCAACTGTACTCGTTTCTTTATTTCTTCACTTTCTGGGCAATTCGGTAGTGTAACCAAATTCAAATGTGGTAACACACCCCATAGTCTACATGAAGCTGACAAAATAACAAATAGAAGTAAGATAAATCAGACATGTATTAGAAGAACTGCATAATTATAACAGATTCTTAATGTAGTCTGAAAGATCAGTGTTCATTAATTTTAATATTTCTCCACCATTATTCTCAAGGATTTAATTGACATGCTAGACATCACGGAACAGAGCACAGAGGGAACACTTCCAAAGAAACTTTATGAAAGCTAATATTTTATTTTAATGACATGCAGTGTGGAAACAACACATTTTAAAAATCTGAAATCAATTATAGCTGAGAAAAGCAGACCTGAAAAAAAAGAATCTGACTCTCACAAATCTCTACTCTCCACACAAAAACATATCAATCATATCCACAGAAAGCAGCTTTCAAAAAAGAGCATGGACAAAAATTGACTTTTCCCATATATATAATGAATCCCCATTTCCCCTGGAGAGAAATACAGTGGGTGTGATAGAAACATGCCAAACTTAGAATGGAAGGCCTGATAACTTGGTGTCTGGCTGATGAGCAATGACTGTTCCCTGGTTCATTCAATGGAAATAACTAAACTAGAACGAATTCTAGTGACCTCTATGGTTCCTTAGTGCCCCAGAAATAGAATAAACGCTGAGTAGTATTAAAGTGCCATCAAAGCATTTTAAACAACATGACTCTTGGTCATCATTTCTGGCTCTTTGTCCAACCTGGTAAAGTGCCAACAAGCTACAGTCATACACACTCTTCTAAGTAAAGGAGCATGTCTGTGCTAGTGCAGTGTGACTCTGTTCCCGCCCTCTCCCCAGTGCCTAAACCACAAAAAGACTGAAGAATCTGATGCTGCCTCATCAAGTTATACAAGTTAATGCTTTTGGATCTGGAAACCCTATAGTCAATCCATGTAGATGAGCTGTCCAGCAACATGACTGGGAAGCCCAGTTCTGGCCAAGTGTACTAGAAAAGGGTTTTTGGCCCTTCAGAGACATGACAATGAGTCTCTTGAGAAGACAGATAAGCCCGTTTGCTGTTGGTGCCCCCAGCCACCTGCCTGTAGTGAGAGTTCTAACTCTGACTGCCTTTCACCACCACCATCTTCTTTGTCATATCTTTTTATATCCTCCTGTGGCATGATTTTCTTACTACAGTCCTATATGTCAGCTCTCTCCAGATGTAAATTATACCAGGCTGACGCTGCTCATCCTTATCTACTAACTCAAACCTTAAACCCCTATTTACAGCACCTCTGAATCATTTCTGCTGTGCTTGCTCATGCATAGCCTAGTGCTGTTGGCAGTGAAAAATGTGACATCATGTCAACAGTACAAGGAGGCACTATTCATCAGAGAATGCCTCCCAGAGCTCTGGTGTGCAGGAAAACACATGAGACTGCAGGGACTGAAACAGTGTCTGGGACACTGACCCTGTATTTTCCTGGCACTGAGTATCAGCAATTGCTATTTTGGGTTGGAATCCAAACTATACCAATTTTCACACTGCACACTCCATGTACAGCACATGGGTCACATTCTTGGCTGGCTTTGAGAAGTTTAGCTCTATTTGAGTCAATGAAGTTATGCTGATTTATAGCAGCTAAAGATCTGACCCTGGGTTTAGTCCATTAACTACCCTTTCTAAATATTTCTGTACTTTTCATCACTGAACTAGTGTACAGAAAACTATAGTATTCTTGTGAGAAATTGCAGCATATCATCATAAGGGAGCAGGCATTGAAATCCCCCACACAAATTACTTAAAACTAAGCCCTGTAATCAATGGAAACTAAAGAAACAACATATTATAATTATTATGATTTTGATAGTACTAAATATGCATCAGCCCCATCTGTCAGATGTCATCCACTCTTTTCTGGGTATCTAAGAGAACGTAAGCTCAAAGACATGCCTTTGTGTCTTGCAAGCAACTTTTCAAGCAGTGCACAATTTTTGGAGAAATAAGGTATCATAAATGAAAACCTAAAACAAATCCGGATATTGCTGAAACTTTTCCCTGGTGGGTGAGCGGAGGAGAACATTAAGAGTGTATTTTAAAGTTTGGGTGGGGTTTTTTTTTAAAGAAAGAGATCTCTGAAATAATTACTTTGCACAAGTATATTGTTGGCTGCATACAGACTCCATCTATGGCTTCATTGTCATATTCTCTCAGATCACCAAGTCAAAACAATACTTTTTTTTTTCGCATTTCTTAAGATTTCTAGTAACACATGAAAAGCAAACTGATTTTTTTCCTTCATTAATCAGTGTCTGTTCTAACTTATCTTTAGCTAGCACATCGGATACCTGTCTATTTCTGGAGATGAAAGCACAAACCAAAAAGATTTTATTCATTCTTTAAATACAAAGTATATACTTCATTTTTATTAATCTGGTTGTAATGCTCTAAGTGCCCGTTAGTAAAAGAAAGTTTTTACTCTTCATAACTGGAGTTCTTCAAGATGTGTGGTTCCTATCTGTTTTTACCCTTATGGGTGTGTATACATGCATTATATGTGCCTGAGACCGCAATATCTATTGGTCCATGTCCTTGCTCATCTCATGCTCTGTGTTGAATGTATAATGGGAAGCAGGGCCAGCTTTAGGAAGTGCAGGGCCCGATTTGCGGGGGCGGGGCCATGCACGCACAGCGAGTCCGGGGCACAGCGCACACACCACGCAACTGGGAGCGGGGCCCTCTTAGGCCCCCTCTTAGGCCCAGAGCCCGATTCAGGGGAATCAGGGGAATCGGCCTAAAGACGGCCCTGATGGGAAGGATGGACCAATGTCTCTTCAGTTCCTTTTATTACTACAAATCACACATGATCTTTACGACAGGGGAAGAAGGGTACAAAGAATTCCATATATAAAGAATAAGTAACTTCCCCCAGTTCCTTTTATTACTACAAATCACACGTGATCTTTACCACAGGGGAAGGAGGGTACAAAGAATTCCATTTATAAAGAATAAGTAACTTCCCTGTCTCCTTTGATTGTTGGTCCCTATGTCTATTCCATGGTAGGTAACTGACAAGTAGTACTTAAAGAGAAGGAGGGTGTGATGATGAAGGAAATAGAGTTGTTTGTAGAACCATTGTTTCATTCCACGATGGCAACAAACAGCCTCGGTAACACTCTGGTCTGTTTGTGATTCTTCCAGTTACATACATTGACCACTACTGTACACAAGGAAATGGAACTCATTCCTCCCTGTTCACATAGAATACAGTTGTCATATTGTCTGACGATATGGGACATTGTAAGATTGGATTAATGGTAAGATGATTCTCCAGCTGCTCTGAGTTCCACAAGACTGAGAAGCATTCTGGTTCCAGGGCATCCAAGTGTCCCATGCTATGTGACGGTCCATGTGAGTCCTCCAACCTAATAAGCAGACAGCCGTGATTATTGTCCTATTCGTGTAGACAGGGGATAGGAAAGAAATGCCCATGCATACTTCAGCAGAATCTTTCCATCGAATCAGAGAGGCCCTTATCTTATTGAATATTGTCACTGCAGTGTTCCTGCTGTGTTTGCTTAGTTTACATGCTGCTCAAAACCAAGCGTACAGACAGTGAAAGTGGACAAATAGCATTACATAAGTAGCTGGTGTTATGTGACCCTAGGAGAATAAGGCAAATCCAAACCAATGTCCAAGGATTTGCACAACCTGCATAGAAAAACTATGGTAGGCATCCACAAAAGGGGATATCAGAACTGGATGAAGATGGCATCAACATTAATTTGTCGTTCCCCATCATCCTATCAAAAGAATCTTTTGTCTGGGAAGGGAGGCTGGGTTATTCCAGTAGAGATGGATGGGGTAGGGTATCTTGATTTCTACACTTTCTGACATTTGTGAGGTGGCTCGTACCAAGAACTGAAGGTAGAAGGATGTGATCTGCTGCTATGGTTGCTTATGGTACTGCCTCTTCAGGGCTGGTTTATGATGGGCAATCACTTATTGCTGAGTACGATCATCTTCCATGGGAGTTATGGATCCTCTGGTGGCTATATGACAAGAGGGAACTGAATACCGAATCTGGTGGCTCTAGCTCTTACCACTTAGGAGGGGTTCCTGAATAAACAGACAGAAGGATGGATGGACAGACACACAGCCAGTCTCCCCTTCCTCCTGCACCTCTTCAGTATGTTGGGCAAATTTTGAATGACCCTGGGCAAGTGTCTCCCAAGTGTCAATGTCAATGTTGCACTTCTTTAAGTTATCCTTTAGCAAGTCCTTATGACACTTCTGTTGTCCTCCCACTTTACGTTCTCCTTCCTTCAGCTGAAAAAACAGGACCTGTTTTGGGAGGGGATAGTCTGGTATCCAAACAATGTGACCAGTCCCACAAAGTTGCTGACGGATGATCATTGTCTCAGTACTGGTGGTCTTTGCCTCTTCCAGAACACTGATGTTAGTGTGCCTGTCTTCTCATTTGATCTTCAAGCTCTTGCAGAGGCAGTGTTGGTGATACCTCTCTAGGACTTTCAAGTGATGTCTGTAGGTTTTCCAGGTTTCAGACCCATACAATAGTGTTGGGAGAATGATGGCTTGATAGACAAGAAGTTTGGTGTCTGTTTGAATGTCATGATCTTCAAAAACCCTGTGCCAAAAACAAGCA